TATGAGGTCACATGTGCAGTCTAGTATTTTGCTGGACCAATGTGTTGACTTGTGAATATAGTGATGTCGTAATGTCTCATAAATCTGTCTGTGTGGATCTTCCTCCTCCTAAGACTGGAGAGACAAGAGTGTGTGGGAAAGCTGAGAGTGAAAGGGAAAGGCTGGATTTGAGGAACTGACAACACCTCATCTAGAAGATAGCTCCCTGAATAAGGCTGTAAACACATTACCATCTTAAAACACAGCAAAGTGAGGTTATTTTTCACTGTGCTTCAATTCAAATGTGCATGGTATTTTCCACATCACTATGCTTGGGACGTGATGGTGCTGTGGTCTAAACCACAGAGCCTAGGTCAGTGGTTCGAATCCCTGCGACGGGGTGAGTGCCCATTGCGCGCTCCCTGCTCCTGCCAACCTAGCACGTCAAAGTGCAAGTAGATAAATAGGTACTGCTCCGGCGGGATGGTAAATGGCATTTCCATGAACTGTTCTGGTTCGCCAGAAGTGGCTTAGTCATGCTGGCCACATGACCCGGAAGCTGTACACCGGTTCCCTTCGCCTATGGAGGGAGATGAACGCGCAACCCCAGAGTCGTCCGTGACTGGACCTAACAGTCAGGGGTCCCTTTACCTTTATGTTTGGATGTGTCACCATGCTGCCTGCTGCCTGTCCACAGGGTGAAGACAGAGTTGGGATGTCTTTGCCTGATGTGAATTGCCAAGTTGTTTTCCCTGCCCCTCCACCCACCCCCAGTTCCATCCCTCCAGTTGAGCACCCCTAGAAATTGCCTTTGTGCAGCTGTCAGCTTCAGCCATGATCCCATACATCTCCCATATACGATGGGGTTTATTCACAAGTAAGAGAAGAAATGTCTAGGGAGCACATCGAAGTTTAAACCCATTCTTAGAATTTCTAGTCCCTCCTTACCACCTACAAACATCCGAGAGAAGAGAGAGAGTGGGTGGTGAAAGGAAGAATTTTTAAAATCCACAGAAATGCATTAAATGTGGTGCTTGTTTACATGTCACATTTACAGTAGGCTCCTGTTAATGATCAAATAAATAAAAACACACACTTCCTTGGAGAGGACCATCTTGTCATTAGCAATAGTGGCAGAGGTATAAAGCACTTAGCCCTGATCATCTGTCTTCACCAATTACCCGTGACATTTTTATTGCAATGTGATTTATAAAGATGCTAATCGAGTTTTAACTTCTGAGGATCTTGAATGGTTACTAGTGTAGGCTGCCTATTCCTGAATATGAACCATATTGTACTGAATGAAAAACCACTGTGCTTTGAATAGTACACTCACATTCAGCGGGTGCTGGAGTAGACTCATCAGCAACAGCTATGGTGGCAAGAACATCTTGGGATCCTTAGAGGTCCTCTGTAGATGCATGGAGAACTTGCTTATGGCTGTGCATCTTCTGGGAGCTGTGCTCTCCTGCAGAAGAGCAGCCCTCCACTGTACTAGAGGTGGCGGGGGGTACATTACTGAATCCCTTAATGCCAGCATTTGATCCAAGGAAGAAATATCCACAGGCTAAGAGAGCTTAGGCCATGTGCCTGGTAGAAGTCTAATCGCTTGATGACATAACATGACTCAGTGAATGCTTCCACTCAGCTCAGTGACGCATGCTTGCAAGTCTCAATGCACAGGAAGCCATCATCATCTGCCCTGTTTAGTCCTCCTCCAGTGAACTGAAGGCAAGGTTATTTTCTTCCTTTCTTCCTCTTAAGCAAGCTACTTGCACAGTACTGTATTAGCAGAGATGTGGTTAATTTGCTGCTTTGCCATGAGCAGAATGTGGCAGGGGGAAGGAAGAGATTTCTGTTTGTGTGCGTTTTGCACTGCAAAAATTGATTCGCTGTATGGAGGAACAGCCTCGGAACTGAAACAGGTGATCCTTCCAATCAAGAAGTGAGAGCATGTGTTGTGATTCCAGACTTCCCTATTAATAGATTGTAGCTAACGGAGTGCAAACTTTGTCCTAAATTCAGGTGCGTTTGGGGCAAAACGTAATCAAACAGCTTTTTCATCCTGCTGCTTCTGTGCCTAGCACCACTCTATGCATGTCTACTCAGAAGCAAACCCCACTGAGCTAAACTAGTCATAAATATGGCCTACAGGCATCAGAAAGAGCGGAAGGAATTACTAGTATCTGTGGTATCTCACAAAGGTGAGGTATAAAAGGTGCGGTTTAAATACAATAAACAAATAATAAACGAGACTTACTCTCAGTAAGAGAGCATAGGATTACAGCCAAACTGGGCAATCCTACACATGTTGATTCAGAAATGGTCTTGTTCAATTCAATGGGATTTACTCATAGGATTGCAGCCTGAGTAACTGAATTATTGGCAATCATTGCTTTGGTATGTTCTGCCAGGGTTTTCAAATTGCACATCTTTTGTGTGTGCTTTGCTAATGTTTTATATGTAATTAAGTTATATTTTGGGATTCTGCCTTGCTAAAGGTCTTGCTCTACCCTGATTTTCTGTCCTGCTTCTTCATTTTTCTGATGGCTCAATATATAAGAAAATGCAATGTGACTCATCTGTCAAAAGCTGTTGTAGGCTTTTTCGTAGAATCTGCTTAATGACAACAGGGAAACATTGCCATTATATAAGAAAGACATCATTTATGCCCAATAGTCTACAGACCTTCAAATTTCAGAAACAAATATTTGAATCTACAAGATGGGAGGAAAGATATATAAGCATATTGAAAAGCCCACTTGTTGTTAAAACTGAAACAATCCTTATACAGTAGTGATTTTGGTTACTGTATTTTTCGCACGATTGGACACACCGGACCATAGGACGCACCTAGTTTTTTGGGGGGGAAATAAAGGGGGGAAAATTTCCCTTTATTTCCCCCCCAAAAGCAGGTCAGGGAAACAGAACCAGGTCGAGGAAGAGCGGGATAGTGGCGCTGCGCCTCCCTGCTGTCCCCCGAGCTTGTGGGGCTGGTTGATGTCTGCCCGGCGCGAGGGGCGCTCTGCTTCAGCGGGCCCCACCCGCCAGGCAGCAGGCTGCTATCCGCAGCGTGGGGAGCCCTGCGGGGAACTCCTGCAAGGCTCCCCACGCTGCGGAGGTCTGCCTGGCACGAGGGGCGCTCTGCTTCAGGGCGCTCCTCGTGCCGGGCGGCAGGCTGCTATCCGCAGCGTGGGGAGCCCTGCGGGGAACTCCTGCAAGGCTCCCCACGCTGCGGATGTGTGCCCAGCGCGAGGGGCGCTCTGCTTCAGGGCGGCCTACCCGCCGGGCGGCAGGCTGCTATCCGCAGCGTGGGGAGCCCTGCGGGGAACTCCTGCAAGGCTCCCCACGCTGCGGATGTGTGCCCAGCGCGAGGGGCGCTCTGCTTCAGGGCGGCCTACCCGCCGGGCGGCAGGCTGCTATCCACAGCGTGGGGAGCCCTGCGGGGAACTCCTGCAAGGCTCCCCACGCTGCGGATGTGTTCCCGAAGCACCGGGCGCTCTGCTTTCAGGGCGCCCGACGCTCCGGGAAGCAGGCTGCTATCCGCAGCCTAGACACGGCTAGCGGAGCGCTGCATTAATCCCGAAGCTTGGGGCGTGCGGAGCTCAGCGCGCCCCAAGCTTCTGGGTGCCGGCAAGGTCTAGACTGCTAGCAGAGACCTTGCCGGCACCCAGAAGCTTGGGGCGCGCTGAGCTCCACACGCCCCAAGCTTCAGGATTAATGCAGCGCTCCGCTAGCCGTGGGAGAGCTGGGTCTCCCACGGCTAGCGGATAGCTTCCTGAAGCCTGCATTCGCTCCATAGGACGCACACACATTTTCCCTTGCTTTTCAGGAGGGAAAAAGTGCGTCCTATGGTGCGAAAAATACGGTAGTTGCAAAGTTGTTACCTCTCTTTCTCAGCATTTGTCAGAATAACAGAGATACAGTACATCACTTGATATAGCTTTCGTCTTCAACAATGCATCAGAAGGAAACACTCAATCTAGTACATGTCAGTAATAAATCACAATGATCATACCCCACTGTGGACATCACCTCATTTCATCATGGCTCTGGACTTGTTTGATTTACCTTTCCCCCTAGTTGAAGTTACACATAGTTTTTAAGTGTGGGTGGAGATTGCAGTTTCCTGTTCTGCCCACCAGATGAATTTATAATGTCAACTGGACCACTGGCCCTCTATGTGTAGCCAGTGATATAATGAATAAACTTTTCATAGATGTATAAGGTCCCATGCATGGTTGATGGCCAGATCATGCTCGCCATATATAAGTTGGACGTCAACCATGCAGTGGATTTTATGCATCTAAATAAAGTATGGAACACTGTATGGAACTGATTATTTAGTAGAATTCAATGGATTTTATGCATGTCGACACTAAAGAAATGTTAAATCCATGCATAGATGCCTGGTTGAAGCAGACACACGTGGTGAGCATGATAAAAAGATATAGTCCTCTTCTGTTTGAGAGAGTGTGTGAACTAGTCCAGTGTCTTTGGTGGAACAGCAACTCATGCAACTAGGTCTTAAATCAGGATAATTTATCAACCTACCTGTATGATACTGAGGTCATCTTTGGAAGATGGGCTTCAACCATCTAGAGTTAGGAAGGTGACAACCAGAGAGAGGGCCTTCTGAGTAGTGTGCACCAAATTTATGGAACTAATTCCACAGATAACTTCTTTGCAATGCCATATAAAGACATTTTTATGTTCTTAAGCCTTTTGATACTTTGTTTATTCTAATATGCTATTATTTCTTTATTTACACACAACTTCTGCACTGACTGCTGCAAACCAGTAGGGCTTCAGAAATGGCAGTTTCTCCACCACAAAATCCACCACCACTTCAGGATTACTTTGGCAAATCTTAAATTGAAATTGAACTATTTATGGTTGAAAATTCTAATCTAATATTTGTATGTTTTTAAAAAAAATCTACAGGATTTTTGTTTGTTTGTTTGTTTACAAAGGGGTGATTTATAGTTCAAAATGTAACCTTTCAACTTATTTTTTTCTAGGTGCTGGCGATAAAAATATATCTTTCCTTTCCAAAGTCTGATGAAAAACCAAGGCTTCTGAACACCCTTGTGCACTAACTCACAGCTCCATCCTTTCCCCCAAAATCTTAATGTAAGTACCACCATCTTAATGCTGCCAGTGTTTTCAAATGTACACAATTTTCACCCATATATTCATTAAATATTTTCCAATCTTCTTTAAACGTATATTCTTCTTGTTCTCTGATTCTGTAAGTTAAGTCTGCAAGCTGAGCATATTCCATCAGTTTAAGTTGCCAGTCTTCTTTAGTTGGGACCTCACTTATTTTCCATTTTGGGGCTAACAAAAAAGCCTATTTATGTATGCCACTACTGCGGCCCATGTTTTGTTAGGGGCACAAAATTTCAACACCCGGTGCTGCCTCAATACACCTGCGTGCTCCTGTCACTGGGTTCTGTTGAAAGCAGCTTCTTCATGTGAACCAGGAAGTGACCTCTCCAGACAACAGAACAACTCTTCTTTTCTTATCTCTGAAGCTGGGATCTCCTGGATGACACAGATGCCATTAAGCCATTGAATGTGCATGCCTACTCCATCTATTTCACTCCCTCCCACCCCTCTGTGCAGCCCAGAAGCTGGCAACCCACACTATGCCACTGATCTCCCCCATGTCTCCTATTCTTCCCCACAGCGAATCACCTGCTTTTCTGCTTCTCCAGCTATAGCAGCTGTGGTGATCTCTCTGCCACTGCTGGGTTCTGGGAAGGAGCCAAAGCAGGAATCCTTCAGAACCAGGCATTCTGGGTGAGGTGGCCAGGAGAATGCTTGCGCTGTCACACAGTTCACTGCTGTAGTAGTGTAGGGATTTTCCAGGCCACCTTGCCCAGAATGGCTGGATCTAGGAAGGACACCCTTCTCCCTTTCTCGGAGTCCAGATGGCAGCTAGTGGCAGGTAGCCCATGTGCCATTGTGGATGGGGTCAGGTGGGACCAGCCTTCACTCTGCCATCTGGGCCTGACACACATGGTCAGCAGGTTGGACTGGTTCAGAACCCTGGGGCCTTCTGGTTGACTGCTGGCTCTAGGCAGAAGGAGAGGACAAGTGAGTGGGCAGCAGATCCATGGAGAGGAGGAGTGGTGTCATGAAGACACCTTGCCCAGGGTCCCCACAATACCTAGAGCCGGCACTGCTGGGAATGGTGCAGGATATAGTGTAGGGGGCTGTAAGTAGAGTTGATGGACATACCTTGCATGAACAAAAGAGCAGCTCAGGACTCAAGCCAACGTACTCCTTCTTTTGGACATAGGGACTAATACTTGGAGAAGTTATACAAGTCCGCAAGCTAATCGAAGAAACAGAACCTGTCCCTTTTAGCAAACTGGTGCCTTCTCCTTCCTGAGTCGGCTGCAGCCGCTGAAAAGAATCGGAATGTAATGAAGGTTTAGACAAACCTTGGCGCAAATATTCCACCGCAATGAGTGTTTATCTACCGAGATCAGCCAGCTTTACGAAATTGAAAACACACTGTTGATGCGAACTTACCCCCAACCCAAAGCTGCTAGCGCTATATGCAAACTTCAGTGGCAGGTCCCATCTCCCAAATTTACAGAGATCTGTAAGCTTTTAGGCTTCATGTCTGTTGCCAAGGACATTTGTATCCAATAGAGATTCTGGGCTCCAACCAAAAGCAACACTATAATTGTCTCCACCAAAAACAGGAGGTCCTCTCTGGGATTTCCTGTCTCTAAATCCCACCCACTCCCCCTCACAAATGGCCTTCCAATGTTGCGTTTTCTGAAACCCAAAAGGAAAATATGTTCAATTTATGCAGGTGAAAAGAAGATGCTCAGCTTTCATCAGGATTCTCTCTGAAAGCATTAGGCAAAGCAGAAATATACCCGTTGGCGGGTTTTAAAAACTTTTTATAGAAAAAACACACAATCATGTGAAAATAATAGTCAGACTTAAGGATTTAGATTAAAGTAACAAAATATTTTAAGAATGCGCTTGCCTGAGTCTCTTCAGTCTGTCTGGGATTCCTTTGCTGTAATCCAATGTAGGATTGGCCCAACTTAATCATCGCCAAGTGGATATACATAAAGGACTTAAGAAAAATAATGTATGCTTTTTTGAACATACAAATGAGAGAAATAGAAATACATCCAAATAGAAAACTCAGTACAGTTCATTCTCTCATTCCAGCCGCAACGCAGAGGGGGAATATATCAAGGCAACCTCAAAGGGACTCACGAGCTTAGTATCAGTTACGCAATGGTCAAACTGGAATTTTTGATTTTAAATTAAAGGCACAAGCTAGCACAGGTTTGTCACGATTTATGCATTTTGGTCTGCATGCAGAAGGTCACAGGAACTGTCTTACACCAAGTCAGACCACAGGCCCATTTTAGCTCAGTGTTATCCAAGCTATCTGACAGACACTGTCCAACTTGAAGACATCCCAAGCCAGTAATAGTCAAAGCACAGGCAATTTTGGGTAGTGGTTGGAGTGTTGGATTAGGACCTGGGAGACCAGATTCGAATCCCAACTCAGTCATGAAGCCCCCGGGGTGATGACCTGTGCTTGGTCCAGTCGCTGTCTCTTAGCCTAGCCCACCTTGGGAGGGGGGAGAACTATGTACACCGTCTTGACCTCCTTGGAATATAAAAGGTGGAATATAAATGTAATAATGAAATAAACAATAAAATATGTAGAAGAAAATAAGGAACTGGAGGTGGGCACCTCATAATAAGCTTTGGGTCACCACAAATTGTTTGTCCACACCTCCAGGGAAGTGTCTTCTGTGTGATGGTGTTAAAGCTTATCTGCTTTAATGCTTTATTTGAGCACAAGACCAGGGCTTTTTTTCAGCCAGAACTTACCGGAATTCAGTTCCAGCACCTCTAAGGTGGGCCCCAAGGGAGAACAAAAGAGGTGTTTATGGTGAGTTCCGGCACCTCTTTTTCTAGCAAAATAGAACTGTGCAAGACATTGTTAAGCTCAGAAACCCCATGCCAATAATAGCCAAAATCCAAACATAAGGATTTCTGTTACCAATGAAACATTGAAATGGATTTGTTTTTAAATGTTCAATAGCTTTCAATAATTACAGTGGTACCTCAGGTCTCGAACCTAATCCATTCCGGAAGACCATTCGAGTTCCAAAATGTTCAAAAACCGAGGCACAAAGGGGCTGTCTGCAAATTCAGTTGAGAAAATTGAAAAACACGCAGTGGAAGCCATTCAACTTCCAGTGCGCGTTCGAAAATGGAAGCATTTACTTCTGGGTTTTCAGTGTTCAGGTTCCGAAATGTTCGTCAATGGAGACATTCAAGAACCGAAGTGCCACTGTATATAAAAATGACATGGCACAATCTGACCAAATATAGCACAGCCAAATATGCCCCCCTTGATTTCCATGGGAAATATGTAAGAGCACTTTCACTTGATAATTTCTCCTATTTGAAATTGGTAGGGCGTCAGAGCTTAACTTTGGCCGGATCACACCCCCTATGAGTTGGAAAATGTTAAGATTAATTGGACTACATCTTGTGTGCACAATTATCTAAAGGGTAGCATATACTTCATATTATTCCAGGAATAACCAAACTTGTTCCGTATGTTTGCAATAAATGGCAAGCTTACAATACTTTATTTTATAGCAATTATTAAATATTTGTGTAAATTTGTACTTTGGTATACATTGTGTCCAACAGTCATTCCAGTTAGATCCATGACATATTTACCTAAACCAAAAGGGAATCACAACATTCATGTGCAATATCATTTGTTATGAATTCATATAACCATCCAATGGGTTTGGGGTGGTGGTGGAAGTGTATGAGTGAATGAATTCTTCATTCATTTTTTCTGGGATAAATCATACCTAGAATCATGTTCCATACATTATAATGTTCATAAAAGCAAGCTCTACGTGTTAGTATACCTAAAACCATTCTATAACAAAATATCAGTGCTCAAATGTTCTTTTTTTTTAAGTTACAGAATAATTCAACTTATTTTGGGCGCAGTACATCTTGAATTGCAGATTCAAAGCATTATATATAAATTAAATTTTAAGCTTGAGGTGTGCCCTTTCAGATGGTGGGAGACGCCAAAAAAGGGGGCATGCGGACTTTTCCCAGCACGTGGGAGTTTGGGAGACTTTTTGTATGCAATAAAAGCTCATCTTTCAGAGCATGCCGGTGTATGATATGCTTCTGTTGCAATAAATTTGAAGTTCAACCATAGATTGACTGGACTAATCTGGATAAATTATCAGTGAACCATGTTCACTGGGTGATATTGCCAGGGTCTTTGTGCTAGTGACTGCCGCTGCATTCAGTTATGAATGAAGCTGGATTGGGATTTCTTTTCCGGGGGGGGGGGTCATGTAAAGGCACTGAATCTGGCAAGTTTGTAGTGAACTTTGAGCCTGAAAATAATTTAAGGTTCAAGTAACGAGGGATGTAATGGGAAACTTAACTGTTAAACTGCTAATCCAACTGCAGGCGGCACTGTATCTAAACGGGGGCAGTTAGCTATGCTGCTGTTCTAGGCTGTCCTTAGCAATAAAAATTTTCTGGTGGGCATCTGTTTGAGTCCAGGGGCACCAGATAGGGGGGTTGAGGGGCCTTGGCCCCTCACAATTTTTTTTCAAGCAACGGGCCAGGCTCCCTCAATATCCCAAGGCAACATATGGATGCCGTGAGTACATGCTACTTGATGTGCTCACAGTACTCATGCACGCTGTGTGGTGTGCTTACGTCATGTGTGCAAGCCATGTGGCGCGTGCACAACATGTCAGGGCAGCGTGCTCATGCGGCAGGAACACGGCATGTGGCGCTAGTCAGCGCGCGTGTTTGGGCCTGTTCCCTTCTCTGGAATAACCTGACACTGAAATTATAAATTGTCATATACATTACTTCCTGTGGGATTTCCGCCCCGACTGAATAAAGGTGCCATGGATTGAGAATGCTACATCCACAAGTCAAACTGGGAAGGCAATCACAGTTCCTCAAAAAATCAAACTCAAAAAGAAAATTTGAAACCTTCTGAAATACAGGTATTTGGATTCAAATTGTTCATAGAATCATAGAATCATAGAATCATAGAGTTGGAAGAGACCACAAGG